GTTTGAATTGGGCAGTGGGCCGGCCTAAAACAGCGATTTTTAATAATTAATAACTCGCTGACTTTTGCGAAAATTGCAAAATGGTAGAGGACTTTTCGACTTAGTCCAGTCCACTCTATCCCACAATAAGCGTTGATGCGGGTATTACATAACACCCTGTATAAGCGACCGCATCAGCAGACGCAGTTTAATCACACTGAGAGAAAAGTCTTCGAAAATTTATTTGTAGCATATAATGTTTGTTTCGCTAAAATAAACATTATTTGAGGCATATAATTTATTTCAGTGAAATAAATGTTACATGCCACAAATAAATTTTCAGAGACTGTTTTCTCAGTGCATTTAATGGTCTATTTTTTATTATGGCTGAACATAGTGTACTAATTCAGTGTTTATCTTTCTTCTTTTAATGAAGGGAAAATTCTAATGTATAAGAGGGAGAAAGATGTATGCATATATAGTACATTTGTTTCACATATGTTCTATCAAACGATAATGTTGTTTGAATGAAACAATAATATCGTTTAGATTAAAAAGAATATTCCTTTCGTTTCAAACAAATATTTTATTTCTGACAAAGATATAGATTATTTCAAATTCAAACAATCGTACTTGTTAATTCAAACATTGATTTGTTTCGACCATTTCAAATATCAAATTTGTTTGGATACAACAAAATTTATTAAATCCAAAGAAATCGTTTTCTCTGTGTATATTATACGAATTTCTAAAAATCTGAATATCATTAAAATTTCTTGTGACGTTCACGCTTGTACAATTTAAAGACGCAACTTTTCCGAACTGTGGAATATCAGCTGCGACTTCACGTAAGACTTCGCATTAGACCTATCGGTGAACGTTTATCGATGACAGATGAACAGTAAAACAAGACATTTTATCTCAAACAAGAAGAATATATCATCGATATTTTTTAAAATCAATAATCGATCTATAAATTTTCTTCTTAGATCATTTTGCGATGACATGTGCATCTTATTTCTACAAAGTTTGGGACAGTATTATAGCACAGCAATGAGAACAGCATAAAGAATGTTCCCACATAGCACATAATATTACTATTATATTACTGTGTAATATTTCTAATATTACGTGCTGTGTGGGAACATTCTTTATGCTGTTCTCATTGCTGTGCTATAATATTATAATATTATAATATTACTGATATATTCCGTAATATTATGTGGGTTAGTTGGAAGCTGCGATGGTGATTATGAAAATATTAGAAAATCACTACCAAGTAACAGTTTTACTATTTAAATTTGGAAAAGAAACGATAGGTTTGTAAACTTGTGGAAGAAAAATAGTTTTATCTTATCGGCAACACTTATAAATTACTTTTTATCTAAATATAACGTTTCACTAAAAATAAATTCCATAATGATAAAGCTATTTCTCTTACTATGAAAATGAGAAAAATATTCATGCTGACCTACACTCGAGTCACACACTTTCGGTTTCGTTTCTCTGATTTTACCAAATTTTTCACAACCTGCCATGTGGGCGAGATGGGTCGGCGCGTTTGTATCGCAGGATGCAAATCATGGTGCAACGGGATAAAGCTTAATGTCTTTGTCCTTGCGAATCTCGCTGAAACGGCGCCACGCCCTCGTCGCAAATTGGCGTTTGCTTTTTGCCCTCGCAGCATGTACGTACATATATACATACACGTGCAACTATACTGGGCGATAAAGACGTAACGTTGGGCTCGATTATAGCTCGTGGGTGCGATAATGCTCCACGCACCATGGACACGAATTCATTTCGCTTGAGCCGAGACGACTGTCGCGTCACCCGGCTCTTATAAGGATTTTAAAAAGAAACACTTGCTACCCTATCTCGAATTTCACGATAATAAATGATGAAACATTGATAGTTTCTCAGTCCTGAATGGTCGAATAACGATACGGGGATTTGTTTATTTGATTTTGCTAAGATAAGGTCGACGCATAAAATACTCAAGAAGACTCAAGTGTAAATTTATCGATTATAAAATTCGAAAAAAAAGTTTATGGGTTAGAAATAATATTCATTTAGGAGGAGCCATGAATTGAGGCTTGCAAAATTTTTTTTTCAAACAAATCAAGTTTTTAGATTTACTTTCGCTTTTCTTGTAAAAATGCATTGAAAGCTGCACGTTTATTGTATTGCTTAGATTTTTCATCGATTAAGTAACTATTTTGTTCTATATGTCTTCTCACACGTATCAGCAACCAAGCAAATATGTTAATAGGAAATCAAATAGCGTGAAATTGATATAAAGATCGAATTATCTCGTTGATGTTCAATCTATATGTTCAATTACAGATCTCTAAGTAATAGACTATTATTACCATACTTTTCGATACGAAAGTAAAACACGCAGGCCCTTGTTATGCGGGCAATCGTGATTTTCGTGTAGCTCGTAATTATCACGACATATTGCACAATAGCCTTTGCTAACTTTGTACAGTATTATACAGTGTAATAGATCAAAATTATGAAAAATTAGTTCGCTATGTCTACACGATAATAGATACCATTGAATAATATTAATAACAATGTCTTTTTTATTGTTTTAATTTCTTTATGGAGAATTTTACAACGTAAAGAGCACGTTTGTATCCAAACCTTTTAAATATTTAAATAAATTTTACATATTTAGATATCTCTAAATTTGGGCGTCAATAATTTATTAAGTATAGAGACTTAGAAAAATTTCATTATTGATGTCGTTGGTAGTATCGGAATTCACTATGCATTTAAATTCATATACTTTGACATTTATAATTGATTGTACTATAAGACATTACAATGGCTAGAAACTTACTGTGACACGCACAATACATTACGGACATTAATTGATGTACGAGTCTCCGTTGAAAAAGCCCTTTTCTATAAATTAATAAGGTAACAAGAGATCATTGTTCTTGAATAATATCCTCAGGAAACGCATGTTTCCAACAGCTGACACGATCCCACGTGTCGGTTTTGCGTAACGTCTTACGCAATAATTGCGGCAGCAACACGGTAGAACCGCGGATCGCAGTTGTCATGATTGTCTCGCATAAAATATCGATTATCATCTGCGTAACCGTTTATTATCACTTTATTTCATTGTTGCATGCCTCCCGGCTCTACCTTTTAACTGTCTCTTTGATATTGCAGCAATAAAATTCAATTTACTCGACAGAACAGTTATTAAAACCGATTGCGTCGATAAGATCTACAAGATTAGATCGATTTACACTTTATTGCATGCACACATTGCGATGTTAAACACTGTCCAATTACCTATACATTTCGACAAAGAGCTGTACTAATGTTGGAGCCTAAAATACTTAAGTGCGTTATCGCAGTAGCCGACGATATCTGTGATACATAATATAACGAACGATTAGCAATGTGAGCTTATAAAGTTCTCGACGATAGCAGTTACCTGCCGTCACGCATCATGCATAAAGTCATTCGCGCGGCCGACTGATGCAATAAACATAAACGAACAACATCCTGTAATTAAAGTACTTGCTCCAGTAATGCACCGGGAGATCCGGCACAGTAAACCATCAGTCACAGATGATGAAATCTAAACAGTGTCGATTTCTCACCTGACTCCTGGTAGACATGTTCATGGCTGAAACAAGTTAACCGAATACTCTATGCAGTTTATGCGCGTTTTAGATTGTATATTATTCCAAGAATTGTTTCATATTACGATTTTTAAAAATAATTAAAAAATTTTTATTCAATTACTTTTTTTTTTCGCAGTTTATTAAATCAGTTTCTCTCTTCGGAAACATAATTAAACAAATTAAATTGAATTCAAAGTTTTAATAATAAAATAATCGCCAGCATGTAATTATTATATGCAACAATCATTATTCGTTTATGTAAAAGTTATTAACACATTGCGATATTTTATTTTTATAAATTAAATCGCTAAAGGGATTTAAGGGATTAAATTACCAAAGGGACATAAAGAGCTTATAAGCGAATAATATCAGTGATTGGCAATTCGTGTAAGCTTTCTGCTTCAATCAGAAAAATTCGCAACATCTTCTCACCTACGTATATAGCGGCTTGTTACATATAAGTAAACTCGTGGGAGGCAAAGAGAGTGCATTCGCGTGGGCCTGTGGTCTGTGCCGTGTCCATTTGTTCCTGTGTCCGTTTCGTTTGTCGACGGTAGTGTGCATGTGCCGTTGAGCCGAGATTATTTCTCGGTGGAAAGGGAGATTACCGTAAATCATTCTTAACATTACGATCCTTTGACTGGCCGACGCGATGACGACAGCGTGCTTTCACTCTTTTTAATCAAAACATTCGCTATTGATACGAATATTCCCAGTGAAGCTGAAATAAAGAAATAATTAAAATAGAAATAATTAGTATAAGTAAAAAATTATGAATAGAAAAGGAAACGTTATGATAAGATAATTACGTATGTGATGTACAATCGTAAAAAAATTAGGAACGTTTCTATAATTAATAAAACAATTGTGAAAATATAAGAAATGATCCTAAACATAGATTCAATTAACAAACCTATATCCGCTTTTAATTCGTTTCATGATGAGAAGAGTGTATACATATATCTTTATTGAACTACAGGTCACGCAATTCATCGCGTGTTTTAACGCGCTTTAAATACGTCCCCCATGAGCAACGAGACGAAGGGAACTGCTCGTGGGGTTGATGACCAAGGATGCACTTCATGTGGGGTGTGGTCTTTCCTAATAATACTAATAGAGGAGGCAAATATATGGTAAGCGTTACCATTTATTGACAAATTCGAATAAAAAGTAGTATCTACAAGAAAAAAATCGAATTACAAATTTAAAAGTTTAAATAAATACGCCCAACTCCATTTTCGTATAAATGACTCGTGCAAAACGTCGCGTTGATTTCATAGAATCGAAATAATATTAAGAAGCAGACAGATATTAAAAATGTAAGTACGAAGTAAAAATGACCGAGCATGTCGAATGGCTGCAACGAATATATTGTCGACAAGGTAATGTTTATTATCGAGAGAACGTTACACTGTTTTTTTTTCTTTGGGATAATGTAAGAAAGTGCAGAATTTTAAGTGCATACAATAATTGATCACTAAATTACAATTGTACAATTCGTGTAAAAAAAATTGTACATACTTTTTACAATGATCACTTCGCCTACCGGATAAGCGGATAACGTATTTTATGAGCAACATTGTACGAGCATTAATTATACATTTTTCTTCACTCCGATGTATTCATGAAGATATATATATGTATGACATAGCACTTTAATACAGCATATGCTATCGATTTTACTGAACAAACATTATCTTTCCAGTTCGTAACAAAAAAATATGAACACGCGATTTCTTGCAGAAAAAAATTCACAGTTTCGTCAATTTTGTTTCTACATAACTTATTCTAAAATGATAGAGTATATGAAGTATTTATTTTTCAGCAAATACAATGCTAAACAATGCTTGGTTTTGTTTAGAGTACCATCATGCCCTAAATTTAACTGGAACCGCTACGTGCGAGGTTGTGATTAAACATTTATATGTATTTAGTATATTAAAGATTCCTTAGGATAAGATGTGAAATAACTTTTGACTTAATTTTGTAGTACTCTTAACTCGAACAGTGCTATTAAAAAATATTTTAAGTTAAGAGTTTCAATAATTACGTTTAATAAATATAATTATTGAAACTCTCTCTCTCTCTCTCCACTTCTCTATTACCTCTCATCTTTTAATATGCTATAGTAAAAATAATAAGAATACAGAAATTTAACGAAAAATGTTACAGACAAGCTATTCTCTGATTACAGCTGTAAATAGGACATTTTGATCAAAAAGCACGAAATAAATTACATTGACTCTTCTTTTGACAAAACGTTCATTTTTTTCTGTTACAAATAAAAATTTGTTCACATAATATGTATTACTATGAAACCAATACATACTATAATTTACAATTCACCATTCTGTCTATTACTTTCCGACCTTTTAACTTAGGAAAAAATAACCGTGAATAATATAAAATACCTTTGACAGTTAAACACATCGCATACTCTCTTGATACCACCTGCTTATGCTGAAATTTTAAGTCTCTTAATCGAGATATGAAGATAAACATTTATTTACATTGTAACCTTTGCTTTAATGTTACTTGTATTTTACCTTAATTTTACGTCTAAATCTTATCCCTTCGATATTAATGTTAGTTGCACACATCTAGTAAAAGTCATCACGAGCTTCTACGTCGAAGTTATAAATAAACTTGTTTAAAAATATTATGCCAAGATACTAATAGATTTCCTTATAATTAACATATGCAATCTTATCTAACTGTATTAATGTCATTAAGAAGTTTTCAGTTTTTTTGACAATAACGTAAATCATATTTTACACTATAATAATTGTACATTTGCTTGATTTTTGCTACACCACAAAACTACAATATTTTCATAAATTATTATGTGTACCTAATGCACTAACGGCAAAAAAAGTTCTTGTACCATGCATGTGGATCACACTGCAGCTCCCTACTAGAGTTACGCAAAGTATCTTTAGACAATAACAATGCATTCAGTTGTATTATACACAATATATATATAATTTCTTCGATCTTATTAATTTTTTGTGTTAAAAATTAATTATAATAAGATGTACAATCTAAATAAGGAAAATTGTCAAGTGCCGAGTTTGGCTCTTATTGTCTAATTTTCCTTATTTTGTTTTTTTAGGATATTACACTAACACTGGGACAGAAGTGAAACATTGGACTATTGAATAGGTACATTTTTCTTTTATACTTGTTATTACGAAATTGTCTGTAGCATGTTTATATTATCGCTTTCTTCTTCTTCCTCTTCTTCTTCCTAAAAAATATAATCATGTATCCAAATGTATACTTTTATCTAAATAAATTCATTTAATTTCATTTCATATGATAAATATCATATAATAGTAAATATTGTTTTAAAAAATAACTTTTGAAAACTTTTGAAAAGCATACGGTATTATTTACCTCATCAAATCCGAAACAGGTTTCCATTTCTTTTTGCAATTTTGAATCGCTTTGTGTGTTCTGTGATGGTTTTGGAGTAGAAGGTTCTACCTTTAGATCTTGCATTTCTAAATCTTCCTCTTCAACTTCATCAATGTCTTCCCCTGTTCCTGGTACTATGCTATTATCTTGAGTTAAAGGATCTTGCATCACCAATTCTCCATCTTCACTCGCAACAACAGCCATCTGTTATAAGTAATCATGTATTTATAAATGATTCCTAACGATATAATATAGAGGAAAGTTCTCTATTATGAGATAGGATCCTAACATGGGTTTCTGTTAAATTAATAGGCATCATCAGTTGATTCCACCATGAATTTATTGCTCTTGGAGCGAAATCTGTTTATTGGAAAATTCATTGTTAGATTGTGTAATCGTTGCGAAAAAGATTTGTGACCGAATTTGGATGTTAAAAACCTGCTATCTCATAATAGAGGACTTTCCTCTACTTATTTATAAATTCATTTTAAAAGACAGAAAACTCCTTCAAAGTATATCTTGCTTAAGAATACCTGATCAGTCCCTTGATTGTCGGCTAACTGAATGACTTCTAGCACGACATACTGCTGTCCATCACTGCCTTGCACCGCCATCATGTCATCTTCATCTTCCTCCTCTTCTTCATCTTCATAACCTTTAAGTGTAGAAGTTAAATTACCTGTTGTTACAACACATGGATATTAGTCAATGACCCATATTTAGATCATATCGTAAGTATACCTGTGAGTGAAAACAATTTCATATGCTATGAAGTAATGTAAAGAAATGATATTCGTAACTGACATGTAGCATGCAGATTCAAAATTTATCGCAATTTCCTTAAAACTTGCTAGAATTTTTAAGTCACAGTTAAAGCGTTTTACCTGTCATTACTTCAACACGTTGGCCGTCAATGATTTGAATCTTCTTCTGTCTGCCGATTTTGAGAGCTTGCTGTTTTTCTTGCAAAGACGATTCCGGGTCGTGGACGGCCATGTGTCGAATAAGATTACCTTTATGTCTGCAAAACACAAACGTTTCATATTAAGAAAACTTATACCAACGGTTGGCTTAATCATGTCGTCAATCGTTTCAAATGATCGATCACAGTGTACGCACCTAAATGCCCTCTCGCATTCGGGACACTGATGCGTTTTTTCCTGTGGTGGTGGAGGAATGTAGGAGGGATTATGATAAAGATTGCAATGTCGTTTGAGCAGCTGTTTTTGTCTGAATGATTGAAAGCAGTGATCACATTGATACGGCTTCTGATCGGTATGAATAAGCATATGGCTTTCCAAATGACGCGCCGATATAGACGCATACGGACATAGATCGCACTTGTAACACTTCTCTCCTTCGTGCGTTTTGCTGTGTAACTTATAGCTATATCTGAAATATTCCAAACGTAGTTGATTGAAGTAAGCACTTAATAACTTTCGTATTTAATTGTTTCGCAATGTCTCGCATTGTATTCGAAGAAATCATACGCATACCTGTCCGGGAATGTCTTTCCGCAACGCTTGCACTTTAGCGGCTTATCAGAAGTGTGTAACTTTTGCACATGAATTCGGAGATCCGTTTTTCTGCCACATGTAGCTGGACACAACTCGCACTGAAATATTGGTTTATCGCCAACTGCAACGTACCATTATTATCACCATGAGAAAAGAAATAATACTTGATCTCTTTATACATGAGTAATGTATGGTATAAAATAGCAAACGCATTACATTTCGTTTTTCAAACACGTTTGGAAACTAATGCAAATACCACACTATCGTGTCGTTACACGAAAAACTTTAGTTACAATAGCGTTTAAAGTAAAATCAATTTTCATACTTAATATGTGCAAATCATAAATAAATTATTTTAATAAACTTCTTTATATGAGAGCCACAATTATTTTAGACTGATCTTAAAACTTCTTGGGAGCACTGTACATAATTTTTCTGTATATAACTTACCATTATGTATTAATTTGTGTGCTTTCAAACTGTTAGATTGAGTAAATCTCGCTTGACAAAAATCACATTCATATGGTTTCTCTCCAGTGTGAATGCGAAGATGGCGTTTAAGTTTAAATGTATCCGGACTTGCGTATGTACAGTGTGGACACTAAAAAAATAATTGAGCATTGTATTTATTTAGTCGTCAAGTTAAGAATTACGCTCCTGAATAGAACACACATTTTTTTATGTTGAGTGTATCATAAATAATTATAGTACTAAAAAAATGAGAACTAGCCGAAAATATTATACAGAAATATATAAATTAAATACGTATATTACAAGAAAAGAAATAGACTTGATAGATCTCTACTTTTTGTGGGTGTTTAGGCAACTTATACATGAATAATTACAGCACTTTTATATAACTTCGCATATGTGATGAATTAAGACACAATAATACATACCTGATAGGGTCGTTCGCCTGTGTGACATCTAATATGTCTCTTTAGTTTTGATAACTCAACAGATGCATAATCGCATTCGTGACATTTGTGTGGTTTTTCATGGGTATGTCTGTAACGAACGTGTCTCACTAGTTCACCTGCAAGCAGACAGAAATTATATATTATATAACTTATATTTTCGCAAACACTTAGATTGGATAAACTAACAAATTTCTTGGCAAAATTTACGATTGACTGTAAGCTTTTGAGCAATTACCTTTAATATTTAACGTAACATGCTATTAATTGAAAAAAAGAAAACATTTAAAATAACAATTCTCAAACTCTTAAAAAATATATTTCATACTTTTTTACATCTTTGTGGCGTAATTCAACATGTATGTGAGTATATCACTTTTTCTGTTCAATATGTGAATAGAGCAACAAAGTATATACCAGAAGTTGTAAATGCACTCTCGCAATATTTGCAATGGTGGGGTTTGGTCCCAGTATGAGTGTTTACATGATTCTGAAGCGAGGCCAGAGTTTTAAATCCTCGTTCACACACACTACATTTATGTGGTCTTTCTTCCGAGTGGGATTTCATGTGCCGTGATAAAAGATATCTGTCAACATAAGTACACGATTGATTACTCTTCCAATTTAACGCTTCCCTAGATATGCGACTACAAAAATGAATTAGGTCGTGACATAATAAACGTGTAAGTAGAAGAAATGTTAGAAAAGGATAATTGTATGCACAAAAATAATACCGTTTCGGGCTGGTATAGTTGCAGTAATTGCACATATGAGCCTGCGTAACGGTCTGAGATTTCTTTGGGATAAACTTGATAATTTTAGTCTTGTCATCTTCCGCCTCAGATTCCACCGGAGCTTCATTGTCTTCGTTATCCTCAAAATCGTATACAGTGAGATCCTGTTCACCTTCCGCTTCCTCTCCCTCTCCAGTGGCCGCAGCTGTCGCCGCTGCCACACTCGTCGCTTCGTCCACCGTGGACTTGCTCTCTTTCTCTTCGGACTCGGGTTGCTGAACTATCAGCACGTAACTAACTTCCCCGGGATTTGTATCGGATGGAACAATTGTGACGGTTTGATATGCATCGCCGGAATTGATGACAACTTGATTGTTTTCACCGTTGACTTGTTCCTGAGATACATGTACAGTTGCATTTCGTGCACTTTGCGAATCGCAGTCGCGTTATACTTACATCCTCATCGCCCTCGGCATTCTCAAGCTCTTCAATCTCCTGATACTGCTCGTCCTGGGTTTCCTCGCCTTCGTTCTGCACGTCGGTCTCCTCCACCTCCTGTATCTGTACTTGCGTCATCACAGGTGGTTCGTCGCTGTTCGCCTGGTAATAATATTGACCAGACTGATCGACGAAGTAGGTCCCGCCCTCTTCTCCGCCGGACAATCCTTCCACTTGTTGCACTGCAAACCAAATGCACAGATAGAACACAGCGTTAAGACCACCGCGAGAAAAGTATGTCGTCAGAGAGAGAAACTAACATTGCACATGTTGCAGCTGTTCACCCTGTCCTCCCTCTATCTCCTTGTTGAATGTCTCCAAGTAAGTTTGTATCTCGGTAACGGATTCTTGTCCGTCTTCCAGCTTTATAGTCGCTACGTTACTCATGATTGAAGCATGTAGCTCAAACAGTAGTAACTATGCTCATCAGTCTGAAACAGTTTCATCGACGTATATATATATTATATTATCATTATTGCATTCATGTGATAGGACACGTTCCATTGAACGCTCGTAACGCTCGTGAGCGTAATTCGTTCCCGTTTGTCGACAAAGGCGGGCGATTGTACGAGTGTTGCGAGCGCTAATTGAAACGTACCTTCGGGAACACCCGCGTTCGAGCGACTAGCACAGGTACAAATGTTGAATGTAAATGTAAAACACTTTTGCGCCAACAGCTCTAAAAATAGACGTGGAACTATACACTACATGCACAAATGTAAATACGTTTCCCCGCGAGAAATGTTGTCTTGACACACGCCCCGTTCGCAGGGGAAAAGCTAGAGCGGCGAGTTAAAAGGCTTTCGGGGGGGACGACGGCAGTTGAGCCCGCGGCTTTTCCTCGGCCACCGGGAGACCTCGGTAGCTCGAAAAGCCGCGAGTCCGCATCGCGGAAAGGGCGAGAGGCGAGCGAGCGCGAGGAAAATAAAGGGCTGCGAGCGTCGCCGGGACTGAAAAGCATGTTTGCGGTTGCGAGGAGGCGTCCGAATCGGACGCTCGGGAATCGATGCGCTTGCGACGGGGAAGACTCGATTCGAGTGGCCGCGCCGAGGGCGACGAGCGTCCCGGTCGCCGCGTCGGCGGGGCGCTCGCGCCTCTCGGCGCGACGATCAAGGGGGCAACAACGCGCGCCGCGGCGACAGACGGCGGCGACGCGCCGCCATACGACGCGGCGGACGCGGCCCGCGGCGCTGGAGGAGGCCGACGTACGACGCCATGGACGCGCCATGACGGGCGACGCCAGCGGGGCCGAAGGCGCGGCGCGGAGGCGAGGCGAGGCGAGGCGCGGACGAGAACAAGGTACGGGTGAGCGAGCGCGTGGCGTGGCGACGCGGGATACCTGGGGCAGCACCGAATTTCGCGGAATCTCTCGTAGCACACGGCGGGGGCCCCACGAGGTCGCGCATTCTATCGGGGAGCTTTTAAGACAAACGCGGGGTGCTTTCGATTTCAGGACACAGGGGGCATTAACGGACAAAAATTTCAGAAAATTATCACCGTCGGCGCTGTCATCAATATGGAGGGCACCTGTGCGACGATGCCCGCCGTGCCGTCGTGGGCCGCGCGCCGCCAGGAACCGCGGGGTCGCCCGCGCCACGTCCCGCGGGCCGTCCGCCCGCTCGAGTATCGCGCTAACTCACCGTGCGTCGCCGTGAGATGCGACCTGCGGGCGCCGTGCGAGCCAACGGGTCGATACCAAGCCACCAAATATACCCAACGTAAGCCCGCGATCGTCGCGTGAGGGCGTTGTATAACACCAATATGGCCGCTTCAACTGCGGAGGTTCAAATGCTGCGCTGTACTGCGCGTCGCCAGCTGCGCACTGGCACGTTGCGCGTCACGAGTCACGCATCGCGCTCCACATGCTGCCCGGTCCTCGTCGTTTCCTGCCGGCGAAGCCGGCGAGCGAGGATGCGAGGCGTCGAGCCTACGCACCGAGCGAGCCTCGGCCGCGATTTTTTCAGCTCTTCCGAGCGGATTAGCGCGACGCGCGTGACAAAATGTTTATCTCGCCGCGCGTCGAACGCGGGGTGGAAGGATGCGGCCATGTTGCCGCGCGCTCCTCCGCGCGATCGGTCAATTCTTTTTTTTTCTACGTCTGGATTCAATTTTATGTATATATATTTTTTTTATACGGCAGTCTGTAAATGTGGATCCTCGTCCTTGGAACCGCGTGGTTTTACGCACGCGACACGCACCGTTCCGTTTCCGCACGTGCGAGCTGACGTGGCGGCCAATCGACTTTCCGCTTTTTCTGGAACGGTGAATGTGTTGCGGCAGACGATTGGCCGTGCGCCTCTCGTTGCGCGGGATCGATTGGTTGATTTTTCTGCGCCTTCGTGTCTGGACGGGCCTTAAAAGCCGTCCGGAACAAAGGACTCGCGCGAAACTCGAACCGTCGTCGATCACGGCGATTTCTACTGTCAGCAGATTGCGAATTATATGCAGTTTTTGCAATTGCGAGCTATCGGCGAGCTTTTCCACGCTTCAGGCTTGTTTTCTGTTGCTACACTGCCGAACTGTTGCAATAAATTGGAGTGAGACAAGTATATTTCTTCCAGGGCTGGGAAAGTTACTTTATAAAAGAGTCATAGTTACAGTTAGTTTTTTCGCTAAAAATGTAACTAGTTACAACATTAAGATTTGTTGACCGTATCTGGCAATTTTTATGATTTAAGCATCGCTACATAATGGCTACCACCTTGCCAGGTCCTAAAAATATGGCGTTTAAGTTTAAATGTGATTTATATCAGAAAAGGACCGAGAAAATATTAATTGTAACTTATTTAAGGTCCTAATACATGTGCACATAGTCCTGGAAATACCATCTGTTAGGAAACAGCGAGAACTTATTCAAGGTCCTAAAGCGTCGTCTACAATAACCGGCGTAAGCGTGGAGTAAGAAGTAAGAGTAGGAGTAACGTTTTGGCGTACCTGAGTTTTCCTCCTGCGTTCTGATTGGTCGAGCGTAAGCGTAAGAGTAAGCGTAAGAAATAAAAAGAATTCATTTCGCTTACACCCTTACTCCAGCTCTCTTAAACCAGAAGTAGTTCTTTTACGCCTACTCTTACTTCTTACGCCAAGCTTACTCCACCTATTGTAGACGACGCTTAAAGCGCTCTCAGCTACTGTAAAGTTCACATGGACGATAAAAAGCACAAGGGTGTCTGCGAGACTCTAACATTTTGTTTTCAATATTGTTTGCTATATGCACGCGTCAGAAGGGAACTTTCAGTTGTCCTACCTGCCTTGAAACTCGTCAACATGGATGGGCTTCACGACATGAAGGCTGTTATAGATAACGTTTATGTGAATGAACTGATGTCGCAGGATACGGATATGGTAAAAAAATTCTTCACTGCCACACAATCACTATATCTGACAAATCCTTTAACACTATTTTATGCTATGAAAGTATTAAACTATGTAGAACGCGAAAAACTAACTGTTCATATTGTATGCGCAAGTGCAGCCGATATGGCTCACGTGGAGGTGTGGGAAAGTGTTCTATATTGTACGAAGATATCATCACTATTGATTGTAATGACAGATTTGAATTTCAAAGGTGAACCCAGGTACTATCACGCTTCGGAAAACAAAACATTGTCGCTTCAGTTTTATGAAGTGCCATACGCGGAGTATGTACAGTACAGAGCACATCATATGTAAAACCGGATCTGATCGTAGCATTTAACTTTGATTATCAGACGATGCAGTATACGAAGAACTTCACTTTGGTTTATCAGTCCATAGATCTATTTACGCAACAAAATTGTTCATTCATCTTAACGTGTTATACAAAAGACTTTTCAGAGTGGGTAAGAAATTGTATTGACGTGTATCGAAGGTATGTTCGAATCCTTCATACTGCCAATACAATTTCTTACCCACTCTGACAAGTCTTTTGTATAACACGTTAAGATGAATGAACAATTTTGTTGCGTAAACAGATGTATGGACTGATTAACCGAATTGAGGTCCTTCGTATACTGCATATATCATATTGATCATATGCACACTGGGAGCTGAAAAACAGTGATGGTTATAACATTTTTCCTCGTTTTTAACTTTTAGTCTTTCTTACAGTAACCATTACGTACCATTACGTACCACTACAGTAAGCATTCTCCCAGTAATCAGTACGGATTTTACAATAACTATTACGGATTCTACAGTAATGAATATTGTAGATCAACTGATTGACTGTTACTTACTAATCCAGTATTGAATCAGTACTGTATTTCCACAATCATTACGATAAAAACCAGTAATGGTTTTGGTACAAGATTTTATTAAAAATAAAAAACTTTTCCACTAGTTCTTTTTTCTAATTTTTTTATATGTGGGATTCGAACCTAAGATTTCGGATTACTAGCCTAGTACGCTAATGCTGAGCTAACTATTTATACATATGTATATGTTTTACTACCCTACCCTGTTAGACTACATATTATTTACATATTATTTTAATGCTGGTGGTCAACAGTAATGGTTACGGAATTGCACATCACTCAATAATAAAATTGTTCAGTAATCATGTTTTCTTTAATACAATATCGCTTACAACTTTAGTCGTTAGATGGTATTGTATTTCTCAGCAGACATTACTTTTTTTAAGTAAGCGTTTGCGTATTAAGATTAAAAGTTGAGAATGAGCAAAAATTCAGGGACTATTACTGTTTTTCGATTCTCAGTGCATACACATTTTATTGATTCTCCTTAGGGTTACAAGGCGTTTTTGAAGGAACGTGGCCAAACCTCTTACAACACCTCTCTCTATTATCCACTTCGCTATGTGGCGATCGAACGAAAAACCAACAATGTTTCGTTTGGTTTTGAACCCGGGTCTTCGGATTACCAGACCGACGCACAATCCTCTGCGCCACGATCGCCACATCATATATATTGACCAAATTTTGATCAATATGACATCAAATTGACCAAAATTTGACATAAATTTCGTCAATGTGACATCATCCTGACTTTTTCTTCTCCTTGGGAATGTATACCTGCAAGGTTTGTGCTGTATGGGCGTGACGAGGCTAACGTGCGAAATGAGGAAACATGAGCTAATTCGTGCTAAACCTTTAATAGTCGCAACGAAAAACGGAGAGAAATTTTGTATGCAATCCCAATTTGTATGAACCGCGACGTTTTTTTTCACGTAACAAACTATCTGACTATCTGACATTCCATTATACGTGTCGACCATGGGTTTTGGTCCTTTTCAAGCGATCTGGCTGTATAAATTAGAGATTAACAATATTAATGTACAAAATAAATAAATCAGAGTTGCTGTGTTCACTGTTACAATAATTTACAATTGTTGGAGACATTACTGTGGTAACTGTAACTAGTTACTGAAAAGTAACGCGTTACAGTTAGTTACTAAAAAAGTAACGAATCATTACTTTGCAGTTACTTTCTTGCAATGCAAATAAAAATATCAAATCTGCATTTGAATTGTAAAGCGTCGATAAAGGCGTTTATGCGCAAATGCAAGACCCGAGGGGGAAACCGCCGAGGGCATTGTGGTATACAGATTTGCGGCATTAGGGTACTATTACATTTGTCGTACGACAAATTTTTCAAGCGTGTCGATTGGCCGCTGAATAGAAAGTTTCTAGATACTCGAGAATTTTACTATCCTTCAGCCAATCAATACGCTTAAAAACTTTGTCGTACGACAAATGTAATACCAGCCTTACTAGACATTTTTTGGGCACTAGGCCTTGCTGGGGCATCATAAAGGTAAAATAAGATAAAAGTGATAAAACAAGATAAAGTAATGCCCACTGGGCATTAATGGGCATTGGAGTACAAGATTTTGGTAAGCGGTTTCCCCCTCGGCAAGGCCTAGTGCGATCTGTGGAGGTTTAAAAAATATATAATTATTAATGTAACTATATTAAATTTGTTACTAGTTATCGAAAAAATGTAACTGACTTAAGTTACAGTTACAGTTGGAGAGAAGGTAACGAAGTTGGAGTTACAAAAAAAAAGTAACTGTAACTTCGTTACAAGGAACGTGTTACTTCCCGACCCGGAGTTTTTCTCATTCTAGCTTGCTGCACTAGTTCACCGGTGCAGCAATGGAAAACAAGCTTAATTATATATATTTCAAAACAACGTAATTGTGGAATGCAGGCTACCGTCGTCGATTACGGCGAGCTCCTGTCCACGTTTTGGTATTTCCGTCGCTGATGTGTCGTCAGCAAATTGTGCTTCGTACAGAAAGTTAGACGCTGTTAACGCTGAGTGCGAATTATAAGGAGAAAGAAAGTGTAGTTTCCGCGAGCGAGCGATCAGCGAGCTTTTCCACACAATTATATGTATATATTTCAAAAGAATTTAATCGTAAAACTCAGGCTACATTAAAAATATGATTAAATTACAACAGTACCGAAAACAGACAAACTCATTAAGGATATGTACAAAAATCGGCGCACATATACAGGCTAAACCACACTCGAGTTTAATACAATCGAGTTATCTCGTAAAGTATGTATAAAAATAGCAGTTTTAATATAATCTTACAGTATACTGTACTTCTCCTTGCCCTGCATTACAAAACACCACATGGTAACTTATTAGGTGACAATTACATGCGTATATAGAAAAACAAATTGCACGAGATGTAAAATTAATTTGAATGCGCAAAGAAAATTAATGTTTATAGATCTTTTTTTTGGAAGAACGGAAAAAACGTATAAAAAACATTAAACACGTTAAATATTGTGTGACAGAAGATACTTGTTATCTTTGCACGATCGTAGATTTAATTCGGATAAAGATCTTTTTTTCATACTTTTCTAAATAACATATCAAAGTTGTCATTATTACAAACGCGTGTTCTTAAATTTCGTGAGGAATCCGGCAGGATTTTTGCTGTTCCATCAGATTTTTTCTATCCGCTTGCAAAGAGTAGCCCATGAATATCGCTATTGAAATTGTCAATATTATGGAAACGAAGAGCAAATATTTTACAAGAACAATCTCGCTGTATATGTTGTTATTATTTTTCTCTAAGTGGTTTATCTGAAATTATCACGATTATTCGTCAGCATTAAAATGTCTGCATCAATACGTACTTGAAAGAACACTGCGACATCGGCTTACGTACCTTAGAAGAAAACGCATCGATACGATCGCTTCCTATCGCCGCGGAAGCGAGTACAGAATGAGACTTATGCGTCTCGCTATTTTCAATAGTACCGTCGCAACATCGCAGTCTGTGCATCTCAGTTGCCTTCTCAGACTGCAAGGAGACAGCGTTAGCACGCGAACGATTCTTATATTTTAAATCTCGACTTGTTGACGTATCGCAATCCCAGCGTAATGACGAGCGTAATTCAGATCCGTGTATGTAATTTACCTTCCAGAGTGCGTTCAGCTCCTGCGTCGTGGCGTTCGGATTTTTCAATGGCAGGCACATGACTAGAAATCGATCGTTGTATAATAGACCGCGTATGTTGTAGCCAGGTTGCAGTACAACCATAATGTTTCTCTGTTCGGACGGTTGCAGAACCCCCGAGCTCGGTCGTACTCTAAATTTCTCCGGCGACGTTGTCTTTATCTGCAATGCGCCAATCTTATGCTGCGTTTCTAATAAATTGTTTCCAATTGTCATTGTTGCAATTGTCAGATGATCCACGTACCTTGTAAGACAAAGACTTGTCCGTAACGTTCTTAAGTGTAATTGTCCCGGTGATGTCATTTCCATCTTTATTAAACGTTATTACTTCGGTAGGTTCTATGGACAATACTGGAGCAAACGTAATTTACTTGACGCTGCACATATCTCTGCTTTGTTATTCTAGGGTGACGTAATAAGCTCGCGCGCAAAATCAATTTTATACGTACATTGTTCCTCATTAATCTGATCCCCGATACTCGTTGGACTTTGCTCCATAAGCGGCGAATTGTCTACAAAGTGCACCTAGAAAAACATGTAACGAGTTTAAGCGAGTCGGACGGAGTGTTTCAACAATTATGAATATAACTCGATGTACATCTACGTATTCCATATTGCTCGGTGCTTTCGTTCTCAGGCTACTGATTTGAAGTTTCGAAATAACATGAGAAACAAATCCAAGCGCGGTTAACAGAAGAGCAATAGCAGAAAAAGGAATAGAGACGACAAAAGAAGCGCAGTGAATTCGGCACGTCGTGAAAGCAGTATCTTGGTATTATTCGCTTGGCGTGTAGTTGTCAGCAATTGTAATACCTTTTTATTATCCAGTTTACCATTCAATACGCTATCCCCGTTCGTCTGCTCCTCCGAGACGAATTTGAAGGTGTAGTCGATGTTACCCCCCCAGCATTTCATCGCGTCGTTCGGATTCACGTACTCCTTCAACGTGGACTTGTTGATGAACTTGATCTTCGGAACGGCTTTCGCGGGTAACCACGACTTTATTATCTTAAAGGCCGCGTTTAGCACCCAGGGCATCTCGAAGATTATGATGTAATTCAGAAAATTGGGGTAATAAGACTTGAACAGGCCGATGAGGTACTTGGTAAGCTCCATATCCACGTTGGAGAGCCCGGCGTCCGCCATATCGAAGAAGATCGATATCTGATTTCCATTTCCCTCCCTGAAAGTGTAGCGAGTAGAAGATTTACGTCGACGCGGTATTTACAATCGTCTTTGTGCAAAGACAGGGACTAACGGGCGCACACCAGTACCTTTCTAATCTCTCGAACCAATAAACTATACATCTCTGAAGCTCCGAGAAATCTTTTACTGCCTTAACGTGCAACTTTGACTTGATTATAAAAAGCTTCTTGCCATCTTTGTCCTTGCTAAAGCCAAAGATCGAGCCATCCTCCAAGTATTCTCTCCTCACGTTATCTTCGGTGATATCTGTAATTCGAATTACAATGACAGAAGAGAAAGAGAGCTATCTCGTTGTACGTTACTTCAATATTAATCCTTTCAGTGCCAATCAGGCATATTCAGAATACTCTGGCATCTGCGGCGCAACTTGGAATATTGTCGTTTAAGACCAGAGACTAGGGGTTCTTGAATTCGTTCGAAAGTCGATTGGTTAAAAACCACGCGAACAGCCAGTCAGCTTGCAAAGAGCAGAATGTTCGCACGCGTCTCTTCTTCGAATCAATTCGAGAATCAAGTCTCTGACCGCGTTCATGGTGTGCTTCACGTGTTTCCACTGAAGGGACCAAGTGACACTTTACCCAAGTCAAGTGCATAAACTCGCCGAGTTTTCGCTACTTTCCGCCTTCGTGGAAAGTAGTGGAAAACCGAAAGCCACGTGTCGGGCAAGATTCACAGCGCGGTTTTACCGTTTGTCCCGAACTTTCTTCTCCAAGTGCAGGTCTCCCAGAGCATGTTGAACGCCTCCTGCTCGTTGAACTCATGATGCTCCAGGAATCGTTTCAGCCAGTCGTCGTCGCTCTTCACCCTGGCTATGTCGGCCGCGTGGAAGGCCCCTGCGAACAGTCGATCGATCAGTATCTTGCACCGTAGTAAAAATGCTAAAAGCCAACGGCTTCGTCCCTTTCGAAGGAGACAAAGCCGCTCGCTTGCAGCGTTTTCACTGTATCTTACACCATAGTGAAAAAGTGAACGACTTCGTCTCTATCGAAGGGGACGGATAGGAAGAGACGAGGCCGCTCACTTGCAGCATTTTCACTTGCGACACAGTGAAAACGCCAGGAGCGGCCTCGTCTCTCTCTAAGGGGACGGTCGGGAAGAAACAAAGCCGTTCACTTTCGGTGCTCTCTCGCTGTAGTACAGAATCGACCCTTGGAGATCCGGACGCGTAGATAGAAAAACTCGCGGTTTCGCGATTAATTAAGCAAACGTCCTTGTACGTCGAGCGGCAATCGCACAGCGCCAATTGTTTTCAATTGGGTACGCGATCGGCTGGACGCGACCTTTGCACATGTTACATGAGCGCGTGTCGGGCGTCACGCATACACGCACACGCGCCGCCTAATTGACGTTACCGGGACGTTACGGGACGGGAAAAGGTCCCCGACGGGGCGGGAAGGGCGGCCCGTACGTACTGGAGTCGGGTGGTCCCTCGTCGTCCAGCTTGCTGGCGAACTTGTCGCGGAGGTCCGCGATCATCCTCGCGTGCGATTCCATCTTTCCCAGGTCGGGCGAACGGCCGGGAGGAGGATGACACTTTGACCGGCGCCGATAACCGACACGATATAATTGTTTATTCGCACGCCTGGTCCGCGCGTGGTGCCGCCGTCGCTCGCTCGCTCGCTCGCTCGCTCTCCGCGCGGCGCCGCGGCCAAGTTCCCCTCTACACTGTGTACAAGTCCGTGCCCGGCGGCCGACGGCGCGGCTCGGCGTGTCTCCCCGGTCTCCCCATGTCTCCCGCTTCGCGAGTCGAGTAAGGGGAAGGACAGGTTCGCGGCGAGTCCCGCGGTGAGAAACGGAGAGAGAGAGAGAGAGAGAGAGGGAGAGAGAGGGAGGAGGGAGAGTGTACGACCGAGCGGACTCCTCTCGCGATCTCATCTAATCGGGACCCTTCGGGGGAGAGTCGCGGGCGCCGTTGGCGAGTTGACGGTACATATTGCGTCTCGAGTTATCAATTCGAGGGGCTTCGAGCGTCCCCACGAGTGTTCAGATTGCGGGGAACTCCCGTCTGCACTCCGCTCGCAATCGCGCGTATCGACCGTGTATCGTTGCCCGCGGCGTAAACACACCGAGTCGCGTCTCTCGGTTCTCCGAATCAGCTGTGAAAACAGCCATCTTGCGATCAGCTGTCGCCGAGCGCGGGCCGATGTGGCGGAGTACGATCCGCGAGCGCTCGCGACTGCCCCGAGTCGTGGACGCGAGATGCGGCGAAAACATTTTGCGCGGAAACATCTAGCAACGTGACGTAAACGCACTTGGATAGGATTTCGCTTGCGTTGTCGAGTCATTTTTCCTGCCGTGAGTCGTTGGATATTTGCGCGCAAAATCGCATACGTCAGTACACGAGCTAATCGCTCGCGTGCGAGAGCGCGGACCGAACGAGACTTCAAGACGTAAGATTTAGGAGATTTGCCAGCTCGAGCGTGATTGCTTAATTTCTTACGTCTTAAGTGTCTCGCTGTAGACGCCGCGTTACGGGCGAAACTCGGGCTGATCTCGTGCAAGTTTGCGCGCAAGAATTGTTATCTGGGTCGCCTTACGCGGTGTCTGCAGTGAGATTTCAAGACGCAAGATTAAGGCCCGGTTTCACCAAGCGTTGCTTAACTTTAATCTTGGTTTAATTCACGTTTGTCTCTAGGGTGACAATTAGAAAGTGACGAAGAACGAATCAAGCTGACGGCCTGGGCAGAATGACTGTCTTTTATTCTTAAGTCACGAGACAGTTATTATTGTGCGCTACTTTAAGGCCCGGTCTACAATGAGTCGTTAGTCAGAAGTCAGAACTACACGACGGACCGTTTTCTTCCACCTAGAAAGGAAAAGGATCAGCATACAGTTCCGACTTCTGATCAACGAATAACAACTCATTGTAGACTGGGCCTAGGACAGAGATTTAGAACACGAAACGTTGCCTTAAGAGTACAAGGCAGCCGCCCTGCTCAGGCTCTAGGCTTCAAGTTAAGCGACGTTGGTGAAGCCAGACCTTGCGCCCGTTTCTACCAATGCTGTTTAACTGTCTCGGTTCAACTTTGTCTTATCTTCTTCTACGAATTGGAAAGACGAGAAGTAATTCAAGCCGAGATTGAAGTTAATCGGTAGAAACAGGCATTGGGCAGAGTTGGGAAGTAACTCGTTAGGGCCTGAGCAGAATGGCTGTCTTGTACTCTTAAGACAACGTCTTGTGCTTCAAATCTTTGTCTTAAGGTAACGCACAATGGTCTAGTTTACACCGTGCGACCTGATCGCGACCTGACCTAAAATAGGCTTCTAAACAAAACGTTTACACCATGTAGACCTATGATACTTTTGGGTCGAATATAGGTAAAAATTTAGTCCTCATAGCCATCTTCATACATAAGCAATATCGTTTGTACTTTGTTTCGTGGGATGACGTGTAGGTCACCTGCGTTTACACGCGTTACGTTGTGTGACCTAATTTAGGTCAGGGCACGCGAAAAAGAGACCTGACCCAAGCGAGATCGCAACTATTTACATCGTCGCGACCTATCGTGTTTGGGTTGAATATAAGGTATAGGTCGTGGCCTAAATTCACGGTGTAAACTAGGCCACTAACTGTCTTGCGACTTGAGAATACAAGACCGCCATTCTGCACAGGCCCTAACTTAGCTCGGTTACATTGTTTCGAACTGGCAACTAATTTAATAGTTGCATAGTTACTTTATATGTATATATTTTAACCCCTTGGCCTACACGCTATCTCCCGATTGCTCGGGCCGTAGTAAACAGGAAGGTCGATCGCGCGAACAAAGTACCGCGAGTCAGGCTCATGCTTATTGTTTATGGCCAAAATTCCTTACCACGAGTCTCACTCGTGGTTGTAGGCCAAAGGGTTAAACCTTGACGCGGATCGCATTAGGCCTTGCATTTGTGCATAAATCGCTTTTATCGACGCTTTATAATTTAAATGCAGATTTGATATTTTTCTCTTTATCGTAAGGAAGTAACTGCAAAGTACTGATTTGTCACTGTAACTAGACACTTTTATAAAGTAACTTTCGAACCCTGGATTTAGGAAATTGATCAATAAATGTTACGTTTACGACTCAAGACAGTCTTAAAAGTTTACAGCTCGTTCTCTACCATCAGCCTTATCGCGGTCATCGCGCGCGATTCGGTACGATGGTCCGTAATATTGATGAATTTTTGCAAAACACTAGCTGGATGCTACGTGATTTCGTCGTGAAAGGCCGTAAACGTAGCCTACATACGTGCGCTCGCGCGTGGGTATCTCGTGATGTTTGTAACAATATTTTTGCTTGTTGCTTTCAGAGAGTTCGCGACGGTGACGGGTGAACATGGACGATGAAACGCTGAACAGGTAATTACACGATTTCGTTGCGCCTCGTCACATTTACGCAATATTTCGCAACGCGGTGCGAGATACTTTCGCCCGGAATGCACGAACGGCCGGTCTTTATTTTTACCTTGAATCCGATAAAATTAGGCACGTTGCGATTGCACTTCTTAATGTACTATATACGCGATACAAATTTATTTCGCTTGGCCAGCAGTAGAATGTTCTCAAGTTTGCACAAATAGCGCTGCGTTTCGTTAACTTTTCCCATTCAGGGCTTGTCGTTCCTTCCTTGGTAATAGTTGAATCATGTGTAGGTCTTTGTTTCCCCTTCACATAAGACAAAGATAGGCATAATTTAACTATTAGCTTACAAGAGATTGAAAAACCCGGGCAGACTCTTACGATACTAACAAGTGAGGCATTTAACTAGTCTTAGGTTTCACCGAACGTCGCTTAACTTTAACATTAGTTTAATTCATGTTTGTCTCTTTCTAGAGTAACAGCTGGAAAGAAAGAAAGAACGAATGAAGCTAAACTTAAAGTTAAGCGACGTTGGTGAAACTGGGTCTTAGACAAAATTATTAAAACACTCTCATATAATCATATATCGTACCGAGTAGCTTGGTCAAAGTTCTAGCATCGTGGACACAGGCCTTTATACCAGGGAAGATTTTAAAAAGTCGCTGGTAGCTAAAGTAGCAATAAAAGGAACACACACGAAAACTTATCTCACTGATTATGAGCTCTGTAGTTGTGCGATAGCGCTGTTGCTACGGTGTAAAAATGTGTTCCTTTACGATGTAAATGTGTGTTCCTCTAGGCTGGCAGCCGAAGCTTTACTGGAGGAGGCCAAGCTTGGTGCACGAAGAGCCGAAATAATGGGTCCCAGTGGATGGGTGAAACCCAAAGAGACCGTTAACAAAAGATTCCTCCACTCGACATTGCGAAATGCAGTGGTATCGAACAAGCACCGGTCGCTGAAGCAAGAGAAGGTGAAAGTTCAGCCACGCAAGGCGGATTTTAACGCTGTTAAAAAATCGTAATGCGCGTATAGTATCGTTCCTGTGTATATGTGTTACTATATTTTCTGATGTGTACCTTTGAGAATTCCTCATTTCTGGTTGAGAGGAGAAAAAGATGTGTAGACGCGTTTACATATTGTTGCTAAAGTAAACGACTGTAGTTATTTTTATTTATTCTATTACAGTACATTGACATTACGATCGAATATTACATATTTTTGTATGCAATAAAAAAGAATTCTATATAAATATTCCAATAAACGGTATATAAAATGAATTTCACTGATCGATTATCGATATTGTACAAAAATATTTCGAATGCTTTGCAAATATATCTGATAGTGTTTCTTTTCCTGCCAATATTTAAAATATTTTACATACTTCGCTTTAGATTAGTAAGCACATTTTAGATCTTTCAGTCTATCTCCTGCCAATTTCTAATAGTCGTAATTCCCATAGAAGTTGTATGTACAATCGTGTCAGAATTGCTTTGTAGAACAGACAAAATTCTATTGTACATTTGCATATCTAATCTCTACAATCATTATCAGAACTTCCATGAAATATACAAAGATGAAATTAAGTGTACAAAAATGTTACGTATATCCCTATCTTATCATCTTGCATTTCACATCTCTCTCTTACGCCCTTAAATATCTCAATAATGTTTAATTGTAACACCACCGAATATAATAACAACAAGGTTTAAAAGCACCAATATCTTTAAATATACTTTTAACAAACGTACGTGGTAGAAGAATGTAATCGCACACTTTCCTTCTAAGTATAAAATCGCTTACAATTAGTAATTACTTACAGTTAAAATATTTTGCATTGATAAGTTGCACATATTAATATATGGCATCGCTTAAACGTTTGCTTAAAAAAGAAAGAGTAATCACATATTCGTAGTTGCACATCCCTGTCTCGTCGGGTATTGAATTGACGAGACTGATACAGACCGAGATGTCTTTTCGCATTAAGATACAGGCAATACTTTTCTACCATTTGTGCATACTTTTGGAGAAAAAAAAATTTCTCATATGCTTAAATTGCATTGTATACAAATCACTCTGATGCTAAATTATGTGATAGGATATAGTACATATATATATATATATATATATATATGAAATTATTAAATGAAATTGTTAAACCACTTCTAAACTCGCAGCAGATATGCAATGTGATAATATATACACTCATAATAAATCTTTCGAAATTTAGTTATCAATATCTAAAAATTTTAACTTTGATAACACACTTTTTTATATCACGGGTGAAAAGTCTCAACAGTTTTAAGAAGTATTTTTATGTTCCTGTAGTCACATTAATGTAAAATATTTTCTTTATTTTGCAATATTGTACTGCAAATGAAGATTGGTACTTGTACATACTTTTATGCACATCTCTGCTGCGCAATATTGTTAATAAATCACGCATAAATGGTCAGTTTATAAATGATTATATAATAATAAAGATGATATTTATGATAATTATATATATGACAAACATGAAATGAATCCTATAAAAATCTATTGCTATATGTGCAATGCTTATAACATATCTTAAATTTTGGGCCCATTATTCTCTTTCCTGTAATCTTTATCTACCAAAATAATTGCCTATGAAACAAACTGCCTTAAGAAAATTATATTTTAAGCATTAAATTATGTTTACATTGTTAAATCCTCTCATAAGTCAAGAAAAGTTATAGGAAGCTATAAATTCCGCTTCGTTGCGTAGTTTATAATTACTTTTGCACTGCTACAGGTAATGAATAAGTTACGCAGATCCGTTCTGATGTATTTTCTTTTTTTGTTCTAGCAAGTCTTTCATATCGCCAAGAGCTTTCTCAATTTGCTTTGCAAATCTGCTGGAATCCTAAAAATAAATTGCAATTGAATTATTTTTCTATACAAATGAACAATTATGGATGTGAGAAATATAACGAAACAACGAAAATATTTAAAGAACAATAAATATAAAAGGGTGGTTATAGTAGTCTAAAACCGAAAATTAATTATCGTACCGTTTTCGACGAAGATATTTTACTAGAAACGTGGAAAAATAAAAGATCTTCTCCCGCAATTATATAAGAAACGCCGTAGCCGTCATCGGCCACAGGACCAAATCCACCACCAGCTGAAATGCAATTAGGATACTTCTTCAAATCCAATCTCGAAGTTTGGCCGTGTGGAGTTTGCGATGTTGACAATCTCCATGGCTCGCTTAGAACTTCCTGTAACAGGAGTAATTGTCGCGTTTGAGATCACACTTAATTTACTATTTTATTATTGTATTGCACGATAAGCGATCGTAAAACAATTACCTTCAAAAATGGCGAATCTACTTCTAAGTACTTCGAAACTACATATAAACAGAACAGGTGCCTATCTATTCCTTTGCCACACATAGCATCTTGGTAACTTCTTTGATGGTTTGCTACCGCATCCATTAACAACTTGACTTTGTCCGTTACCTATATTGAAAGGGAAATCGATTAGTAACCGCGCGAAGAAAGAAATCTCTATTATCTTTCATTCAGCATTTTGTTTTTACCGTCATTGTTTCATCCTCCATTGCTTTCACCCACTTAGAAGATTCAATGGTGCATGGTCTGACCGTTTCTGTTCTACCTTCGCGGAACAATCTCGTCATGGAAGCTTCGTAAGTTAAATTAAACTTGCCGGCGTCGCGGTAGTACGCCAATTGTAACGCCATTTGTATATAAGCGTCCGGTGATATGGAATGAGCCTTCATCAAACCTTTCCCGTAAGCGTCGTGCACATAAATACGTAATTCAACGTCATTTAGTATACTTTGCGCTACCTGTTGAATTTAAGATCAATTGTCATATAGCCATAATGTTGGCTAAATACGTACTACATTTAGATTCATTATCATTACCTGATGAGATTGTTCGATAGCTTCGATACATTTGCCACTTAAATCCCATTGCAATCGATTTGGCGCTGGAGGTGTAAATTCCGGAGTACCCGCATTATGTCCATCTTTATATCTGAGAATAGTACACAACTTTTTCAATAATAAACAATTCTAAGCTTTTCCATTTTACTGAAAGTACCAAACTTATAGACGAAATCAAATTACCGTGCTTCATTTGAAAAGTAAAGACTAAACGCTACGTTTACCATTATTGTCTATCAGTGCATGATTTTAAATGAATGTGAAGTGAACAACGGAAATTAATTTAACTGGTCTTTACTTTCCAGATAATCTTTTCACAATAGCATGCGAATCTAAACATATTTTACTACATGTAATTGAACTAATCAACATTTTCATTTAATATCTCAATAACTTTTTAAAATAGTTTTAATCATACATTTGTATCATGCGATAACGATCAAGCAGATAATTCTATTTTGACATATTAACAAGCATTTGCAAGCAAAACTTTAAATAGAACATGCTTATAAAAGTAGAAAAGTCAATCATTATATAATAATAATTTACATGCAATAAAAGTAC